TTTTGACTGGGATTTCTTTGAATCTGTAGATCAAATTGAGAAGAACTGATAGCTTGACAACAATGAGTCTTCCAATCTGTGAACATGGAATATCTCTCCATTTGTTTAGTTCTTTCATTTTGTTGATCAGTTTTATAGTTTTTCTCATTATGATGTTGTACATATTTTGTTAGATTTATATTTAAGTATTTTTCATTGTTTGCAGTGCTAAATATATGATAATGTGTTTTTCTGTGGGTTAGTATTTCAATTGGACTATTTCAGTGGTTCAGTGATTTGTGTGGTAACTTTATATACTATATCCTTGCTGTCACTTATTAGTTCCAGAAATTTCTTTCAGATTTTCTACATAGGTGACATACCATCTGCAGAGAGTTTTAAGCTTCCTTCCCAATCAGTACACCTTTTATTTCATTTTCTTATATTATGATATTATCTAGGATTTAATCTAGTATTGTTATAAAGATATCTTTACCTTAATCCCTGATCTTAGTGGGAAAGCATCTAGTTTCTCACCATTGAGTGTGATGGGAATTATAGATGTTTTGTAGGTATTCTTTATCAAATTAAAGAAGTTCCCCTTTATTACTATTTTATTGAGAGACTTTCTCATGAATGAATGTTGTATTTTGTCAAATGCTTTTTTTTCATCTATTTGATAGGATCATGTGATTTTTCTCTTTAGCCTGTTGATGTCATGGATTTTATAAATAGATATTTGATTGTTGAGTCTGCCTTATACATGGGATAAATCCCACTTGATTGTGACATATAATTCTTTTAAAACATTGTTAGATTTGATTTGCTGTATTTTGTTGAAGATTTTTGCATCTGTGTCCATGGGCAAAGCTGTTCTATAATTGTAGGGGGGGGGGTTGGTTTGTTTTTGTTTTTTGTAATGTCTTTATCTGGCTTTGTCATTAGGACCATCCTAAACTCATAGAATGAGTTTGGGAGTATTCCTCCTGCTACTAACTTCTGAAAGAGATTGTCAAGAATTGGTATAATTTCTTAAAAATATGAAATGCTTTATTTGCATGTGATCCTTACAAAGGCCATGTTAATATTCCTGTTTTCATTCCAGTTTTAGTGTGTATATATAGCCAAAACCTATACTTTCTCTTTTAAGACAAAAAAGACATTTTATCATCGAAAATGTACTGAATTCACCTATAACCAATTTCTACATTATCTTTCATTAGTTGTGAAGTTCAGTAAAACTAGAAACATAAACTTAGATATAAAACTAGAGGTTTGTATTGACTTGGATGTAGTGATGGACATTCACATAAAGTTTCACCTCTAAATGATCTACCTGTAATGCCCAACCCTACCACACTCATCAGACCTCCTAACATTTTACTTTAGGTTCTCTAGAAGGAAGAAGGAGTGTTGATACCTACTTAACTGAAGAGGACCGAGAGGCAGAAATGCAGATTAATGAGCCTCTGACTCATGACAGTTTGCTAGTTTGTTCATCTCATGATTAGCACTCTTGTCAGAATAATCTAGGATAGGGAAGAAGCAAGTTTCAAAAAAAGGGAATGCTGGGCAAAATGAAGATAGATAGATACCAGGTCATTTCATTAATTCACTCAATGAATAGTTGTTGAGCATCTGTTATGTGTTAAGCACTGCTGTAAGAGCTTAGGATGCATCAATTCACAAAACAGACAAGTATCCCAGCTCTTATGTAGTTCATCTTTGAGCAGGTCTCGTCAAACTAAAAAAGTTTGCTACAGATGTGATATAAATGGTTGAGCTTTCCATGGATACCCTCTCCATTGTATGTTGGTCTATTAGTTGAAATCATTGCATTCTCAGGGATAGCAAGCTAGTACTCACAGCAGAGTCAGGTCCTAGAGAGTTCTGCTGGAGCCTCCAAAGGTTCAGACCAGTGCATGGTGTCACTGTGGATCGTGAGTCCTTAGCATCTAGAATGGGGACATAAACTGGTATTGATTCAGCCTTAGGGCACAGCTTGTTGGCACAAGCAGTCAAGTTATTACAGGATTTCAGTCTCAACCTAAAATTGGATGACAAATCAGGAGCCTAGATAGAATTACACATGGTGGGGCTCAAGCTGAGGTTCATTAGACACAGTGGAATGCAGGGGTTTTCCACACACCAGGTCCCGGATTAAGTCAGAAATATGAATTCCCATTTATAGGCCATGTCACTGAAAGAGTGGTCTCCCTGCCAACCTTAGAGTGACTTGGGACATGGCTAGGGTCCAGCTGGTTGGAAGAAAGGTGTATTCAGATGAAAAATGACTGTGATGGCAGTGAACAGGTGTTATCAGCCAATAAAAATATTTGTGTTTATTAGCCAGACCCAAAGATTTCATTTAATCTTAAAAATAAACTGGGGGGGGGGGAAGGGGGTGATCAGAACTCTAGTTGCAAATATTAAAAATTCAGATTTAACTTGCTTAACTAGAAAAGGAATTATTTTCAGTACTGGCAATACAATGATGATTAAGACATCCTCCCCTGCTCCCTCCCCATCCTGATCTCATTGTGTGCAGCGATAACATTTCCCCCTTTGGGGAATATTAGGAAATATATATTTCAGCTCTGGATAAACCACATTCAATTCTAGGCACCACACTTTTGAAGGACCACTGACAAACTGGAACATGTTCAGAGGAAAATGACCCAGCTGGTGACAGAATATGGAGCCAAGTTATATGAGAAACAGTTGGAGGAAGTAGGGAGATTTAGCCTAAGGAAGAGAGATTAACCAGAAAGTATTACTGAGACCGCAGATTTTGAAATAGATACTACACAGGCTAGAGGTTCATCATATTCTGCCCACCAGAACCTCCCAGAACAAGAGTCATTGTTGGGGAGATACTGGTAGAACTTTGAGATGAACTTGATATCAAATCCATGCCCAAAAGGAATGGACATTACCAGCGCCAGTTGCCATCCCTCCAACAGCATGGCAGTCAGTGCCTGCTCACATCATACAGTCATGAGTCATTTGATGATGGAAAATGTGTCATTTGATGCTTTTGTGATGCGAACATCACACAGAGAATACTTACACAAAACTCGGTGGTGCGGCCTCTGACACACCTAGGCTATATCCAGGGACCACCAGCCCATATACCGTCCATCATTGACTGAAGCAGCATCGTGCTGGGCATGACTGCCCTTCTTCATGGGCTTTCTCAGTGCCCTCTTGGCAGTGGCCTCTGTTCCCCTTGTTCTTCCTTTGTACTTTTATCTCCCTGAGGTGCTTCCATGATTTCCCTTATATTTTAGTTCTTTTTTTTTTTGGTGTCTGTCTCCCTATAGTGATTCTCAACCCTTTCAACCTGATTATAACAAGTATTTTTCAACATACCCTTTTCTATCTTGAAATGAAGTGTGTAGTTAATAGAACCTACCTATGCCATCCATCATCCCAAATATGCAATATAATGCCCTGGTTGTAATAAGAAGGAAAAATTAAAAGAAAGTAATGTGTAATCAGTTTGTGAACATGTTTACAATAGCTCCACACCAGGAGACACAAATAGATGTGAAATGTGGACTCTCCATTTGAAGAAAGTTTCAAAAGAGGGAATGCTGGGTGAAATGAAGATAGATATCAGTTCATTTCATTAATTCACTCAATGAATAGTTGTTGAGCATCTGTTATGTACTAAGCTGTTGTAAGGGCTTAGGATGCATCAATTCACAAAGCAGACAATTATCCCAGCTGAGGACTCTTGCAGTGTAGACTAATGCAAGTGTATTGGTAACTCAAAAACTACAAGTGGGTTTGCTGCCACGATGTTATTTTCTTTTTCTTTCTTTTTCAATTTATCACTTTTTAAAAATATATACACCTAACATGAAATCTACCATTTTAGCATTTCTAAGTGTGCAGTTCTATGACATTTAGTATGTTCACATTGTGGTGCAACCATCACCAACTTCTATCTCCAGAACTTTCTCACCTCCCTCAACTCAGGATGTAATTTTCTTTAATGGTGAATAGTTTTTAACATATAAAGAAACTAAATATACTCTTCTCTCAACTTCCACAGTAGTTCTATTTGGGAAAATTAAACAATCATCTTTCTATGTAAAGCAGTATTAGATTATAAGCTCTTTTTTTTTTTTTTTTTTTTTTATGTGCATCCTCACTGTCCTAGTCAAAAAAGCTTTTAATCACATTAACTGCTTAGGTTTTCTAATAAAGTTTTTAAGCATTCTTTGTTACATATACAAAATACTTCATTACTATGTTTTTTTTTTTGTTTTTTTTTAAATATTAAATTTTATTTTTATATTCCCCCATACAATTGCAAACGCCCCATTCTGACCCCAATCCTTCCCCTCCCGCCCCCCACCCCCCAAAAAGTGTCTCTGGTTCATAGTTTTTTGTTGATTTTGATTTTCACTTTCTTATATTCATTTTCCTGGTCCCTTATTTAAGTTTTCTAGATTCCTGCTATGAGTGAGACCATCCGGTATTTTTCTTTTTCTTTTTGGCTTATTTCGCTGAGCATGATCCCTTCCAGTGCCATCCATGTTGCTGCAAATTGCATGTGTTTATCTTTTTTGAATGCTGAGTAATATTCCATGGTATATATGTACCACATCTTCTTGATCCAGTCATCTATTTTTGGGCATTTGGGTTGTTTCCAAAGCTTAGCTATTGTAAACAGTGCTGCTATAAACATAGGAGTGCAGGCTCTTTGGAATGGATGTTTCTGTGTCCTTTGGGTAAATACCTAGGAGTGGAATTGCTGGATCATATGGAAGCTCTATGTTTAGTAGGTCCAGAAATCTCCACATAGCTCTCCATAGTGGTTGGACCAGTTTGCACTCCCACCAACAGTGCACAAGAGTTCCTTTTTCTCCACATCCTCGCCAACATTTGTTGTTGCTAGTTTTTTTAATATGTGCCATTCTCACTGGTGTGAGATGGTATCTCATGGTAGTTTTGATTTGCATTTCCCTGATTACAAGTGATGTTGAACATTTTTTCATATGTCTGTTGGCCATTTGCATTTCCTCTTCAGAGAAGTTTCTTTTTAGCTCTTCTGCCCATTATAAGCTCAGATAATTAATTATAAATGGATTATCTCCTATATGTACATCTAGTGGGACATTTGAAAGTCAAGAGAGATAGAGACTAGGGCATTGTTGTGTTAAACAATCCCAAATATTGCAAAATGTCTGTTTTTGTGGCACCTGTCCACTAAGTGCAAGAAACATCCTCAGTCACTATAATAACCAGAAATGTTCCTATTAGTTCCTCTATACTTTGCCAGATTATATAGTATGTGAACTCCAGGAAGGCAAGACCCAGTTTTGTTCTGGTTTCACTTCCTTACAGCACGGGCTGAATGTTTGGTAAAATAGAGAATGAATTCCAGAGGATGTCTAGAAACTCATCTTTTCTGAGACTGAACTAAGGTATCATCTTCCTCTTCTCTTTCCCCAATCTGTCTTACCTCCTTGGTACTCAGTCTTCACAAACCATCTACAAAGCTATCAGGTATCAATTCACTCCTCCACTGTCCACATCCAGTTGGTCACTAGATTATATCACTCCTGTCTTAGAAACCTTTCCTAACTCTGGTATCCTCCATTTCCCCTGCTCCAACTCTCTTTATATCTTCACCCAGGCTACTGCAATACCTTTGTTTCCTGCCTCTGGGTTCCCTCTCTAGACAATTCACACACATACCAGACCCCCCATGCTTTGGTATGTGCAACTCCTTATACCTAGAGTAACTTTTTCGCCTAGAACAATCCCTTCTCATGCATCAAAGTCCAGCTTAGACTTATCTCAGGTCCTAGGTCCAAGACAGAATTACTCAATCTGTGTCTCTGTTCTTATCCTTGTTGTGGCATTTCTTGTATTAAACTTTATTTGTTCACATGCCTGTGGTCTCTGCCAGACTGAGATTCCTTAAGTAGAAGTTAATTGTGCAAACTTGAGAGTCTGTGGCTGGAGTTTGAATCCCACATGATTTAGGAATTTTGTGGTCTTGGGCCAAGTCCTTAATATGAAGCTCCAGTTTTCTGATCTGTACAATGGGGGTAATATAATGATTGATTATGAGTAATATTTACTAATTTAATAATAAATATTTTAAACAAAGCTTAAAATGCAACCAATTTCTGTATCCAGTATTTCATCAGAAGCATAATAGAGAAGATGCTTACTAATTCTAAATGAAGGAAGAACTGATGATATTGTCAAAATTTGAAATTTTATTATTACAAAAACAGATGTTGTATTTGGCCATTTAGCCAGGTTTGTCATGAATAAATTTATCCATGGGGAATATTCTTAAAAGAATGACCTAATTTTCCCCTCTAAGTTTTTTAGGTACATTAAAAAGAACATCCCTTCTAGCACAATAATGTAGAAAGCCGGCAGTGTATAAAATCCATGCCCACGGTCAAAAATTATGTGATTAAAACTCCTATGTTTGGGGGTTTTGACTCATATCTTTCCAAACAGGAAGTAGGGAGCAGGGCACCTTCTCTCATTAATCCAGGATGGTAAAGAACAGCAGGCACCACTGGTGATGTTGAACTTGTTGACTTAAATAAATTGAACCAAGCAATTTTTTGTTACATTATTAAATATAAGTGACTTTAAAGAATGAAGATTCAGGACTCAATTTTAAGCCTAGGTACAGCCTCTAGACAGCTCTGGAAAGCTGCCCTAATTCTGAGCTTCTCAATGAGGATTTTAGAGAGTCTGCAAGGAAAACATTTTACATTTTCAAGGATTTGGGCCGACAAAGTCTGGAGAGGTGGCGAGCTAATGTATCTATTTGATGTTGCCAGTGTATTGAGGAAACAAGGAGGGTTGTTAAAATTTACCTTATCTAGTTAGAACCTCATCTTCCCGGAATTGGGCGCATTAGCAGTGCCATTAGCCTTGAAGCCTATCTTTTTTAGCAACTACTGATTAGCTTGGAGGCAATTTTTTGTTGCTGATACAGCTTCTTTGCAAGGCCAGTTTAGCTGTGCCTTAGCTCTTTAACTTGCAATCCTTCATTGAGACCAGGGAAAGGGGTGCCCCTTCAATTTTTGATTTGAGTTCACAGATTAAACTCACAACCAGTCTACAGTTTTCTCACCTTCAATTAAAAATGTCTTACGTGCCTGTTTGCAATAGAAACGTCAGTCCTAAATTTTGAAAACTTCCATAGCTAATACTCTCCTAAATGTTTAAAGCCTGACATTTAATCACCATGAACTGGAGCGCTCTGATTTCACTGTTTGCAGCAAGTAAATGTCACTCTAAGCATTGTTGCTTTCACTCACACTTAGGCGCTTTCATCTGCAGTGGGGGCAGCGTGTCAGAGAATTCTTTGTGTGCCACTCTAGTGAGGGGAAAAAAGGACTAAGCCCTGCCTTTAAACAGAGTGAACAGAACTGCTTGGAAGGCAAAGAGGACTCTGTTTTTGTATGGTATTGGTGAACACACAATTCTGAGTTCTACCAGACACTCTTAGAAAGCAACTGTACTGGCCCTCTCAGAGGAGGGTCCCCGCTGAGCTCATAGAGTTGTCAGCCAAACAGCTCCCCCCTTTTTTGTGACTGGTAGGGGGCAGGGAAAGCAGAGCTAGTAGATGCTGTCATTACTTTAATTTCACTTTTGCCTGCAGGAGGAATCTGGTCATCTTCTGGTTCCCCAAACTGTTTTCACCCTGGGTGCTTTATTTCTTAGTTCCTGATGGCTCCTGGCACACAGGTCAGCTCTCACTTTTCATCATGTTGAATGAAATGGAAAATCAGTTTGTGGCTATTTTCATGGCAAGTGATTCACTCCACTTCTGTTACATCTCCCCTTTTTATTCTTTGTTTGAACATATTTGTATTTCCCACCTCCACAACCTTTTGTTCTCCTAGAAATGTTCACCTTTCCTTCCCCTGTCTCTTCACCATCCTCTCATCCCCTTAACCCCTATTGGGTCTTCATCCCCTTCTTGGCCCCCTGTCCCCTCACGCTGCCCCATTTCTGCACATCTTGCTTCCTGTCTGAATGCCTGCCCTTCTCTTCTTCCATCTGTTATAAGCACTGTCTCTCCACATCTTTCCAGTCCCTCCTCATATGCCTAAATGTGTTTTTAAACTCTGTCAATGTTGGCCTAAGATAGAGTGATAACAGGGAGATAGACTGAACTCAGTCCTAGTCACTGTTCTGGCAAATAGCTTGTCAGCAAAGTTCTTAGGCATACGTGTGTTTTTAAGGTCGTTAATATCTACACCAATCACTGTTTTCAGTTTCTTGTCACCCATAATGAACCCTGGCTTGAAGCTTGGAAATAGAACATTCCACAAGAAGCCACTGAAGTGGAATTTTAAAAAAGCCATGGGCTTTTCTGTCAGACATGGGGTAAAGTCTCTACACTGCTGCTTATTAGCTGTGTGGCCTTGGGCAAATTTATTCATTCATTTAACAAATATTTATTGAACATCTATTATATGCCTCATATTTGACTTTTAGGGGGTGTCTTCCCCTTTTATAGTTACAACCAATTGAGAAATAAGACTTGAAAATGAAATTATGAGATTTATCAACTGAGAGAGGTCGAGATTGAAAGATGTGGCCTATGTATGTGGCAGCAAATGGGTTTACTAGCACTTTTTCCCTAAGGTAGACCCCAGGCCTGTCTCTATTCTTCCCTATTCAGCACACAAGTCAGGATATAGAACAGACAATGCTGAACATGAACAAGCTGAAGAAAAAGAGAGTGTTAAAGCCTGGGGGGCTTGGCTAAGCTGATCCCCCTAATCTAATCTCCTGAACTTGGTGATCAAGATAAGCCACTCTGCCTCCCTAGAGAAGATAGAGCAGGTGAGAGTCCACTCCTGCCTCCTGCAGCCTGGAGGTTCCCTTCCCTCCAGCAGGAGGGTTGAGTAAACCATAGTAAGCAAAATAAATACTTTTAGTGTATTTCCTCATTTATGAAATATGGATAATCTTACTCACCTCTTAATATGATTATAAACACTAAAATGAAATAAGATACTACTTACAAGAAATATAAATACCTGTTAATGTCATTCTTCAATCAGGACCAGCCTGAAGTAGACTTGGCCATTCAGTGGGCATGTCTTCATTGCCCACGCTTTCTTTTTTCTTTCTAAACCCAATTGGACTATTTTTTCTCTTTCTTGCTTCTGTTTTTCAAAAAAGTGGGAATACTAGTCCTGAAGCTTTTGATTTCCAGTAAGCATGGGTTGAATTAAAACATACTGGCCAAATCTTGTCTAATCCTAGCTTATGTTATAAAACTCATTAATTTGGACAAAGAAAGCATCTGGAATAATAAAGTCTCCTTTAGAATTACAAAACTGGTTGGACCTGAAGGGTCACCAAAATACAATAAATAGGTTTTACTACTTGAGAAATGTATGTGCTGATTCCTCACATTTGTTGTTGTTATATTAACATGAATGAAACTCATGAGCTTCTCTGTTACCATAGAAAATAACTCAGGTGAGCCGTGAGACCACAAAGGTAAACAAAAGCAGAATACATATATTGAGTTTTAGGAAGTAATTTTTTTCTTTTTAAAAACACATTTAAGGACGTCCCTGGCTGTACAGGGGTTAAAAACACAGCGCCATCAAGCTATTGCCAGCCACTGCAACATGACTTCGATTCCCAGCCAGGGAGCTAACCCATGGCGCAGCAGACCTCTCTTTTCTCACCCACTGCTCCCCTCAGCAGTGTATTTCAGTAGATCTGCCTGTTCTGCTCCCCACTCTGTGAATCCCCTCACGCATACCCCCACACCTCTGGCCTACACCCCAGTTCTTGTATGCATAAATAAATAAATCTTTAAAAAAATAAAAACATGCTTAATAATACATTTGAGCTTTTTTCCCCAAAAAATATTACTAGGGATTCATTTATTGCATAATGTAAATAAATGTAGTAAGCTGAAATCAGTTTATTAAACATGTGTAAATTTTTTTTAAAGATTTATTTTATTTGTTTTATGCAAGAATCGGGGTACAGGCCAGATGCATGGGAGGTGAGAGGATTTACCAGAGGCAGAGCGGGAAACAGAACAGGCAGACTGACAAAATACACTGCTGAGGGGAGCAGCAGGCATGGCAGGAGAGGTCTGCCGTGCCATGTGGGACCCTCACCGGCCGGCAGGGATCAAACCCACATTGCAGATGCTGCGGACAGCTTCGCAGCACGGTGCTCAACTGCCTGCACCACCAGGGGAGGCCCAACATGTGTAAATTTTAAGACATCTGAAATATTCAGCTTTCCTATCGTTAAAACGCTTGTACAAACCAACTTTAAATTTTATGAAAACATAAATGACAAACACTATTCTTTTCCCAAATGATACTACCTTTTTCTCACTTAATCTTCTCTATTTAAAAGGTTTTTTTTTATATTATGGCGTTATATTTGTTTTAGGTGTACATCATTATAAATCAACATCTATACTTGTTCTATACTCCACTCAAAGTCTTAATTCCACCCTTCTACATATAGTTGACCCCTTTTACCTGATTTGCCCACCCTTCTTTCCTATCCCTTCTGGTAACCACTAGTTTGGTCTTATATTCTAATAGTTTGGGGTTTTTTTTATTTATTTATTTAGTTTATTGTTTGGGGGAAGAAATTTTAATTCAGGCTCTTTAGCCTTTGAGAGGAAGCCATTGATGATAAATGATGGAATGATCAGATTGGTGTTTTAGGAAAAAGTCATGTGACAGCACTATGCAGGATGAAAGGGAGGAGGAGGTGAAGCTGGGAAAGCAGGTCAGAGGCTCTGGCCAGCCAGGTGAGAGGGGAGATGGCTCACACAGGTAGTGAAGATCAAGAACTGAGCCCTGATTTGAGAGACTTGAGGAATTAGAATTGTCAGGATTTGGGTAAGAAGGGGAAAGGGAAAAATATGTCAGATAAGAGGGCTCTTCCTTTAGTTAAAGTTTCCCTTAAGTTAAAATAATATGATTTTGTATGGAGCCAGAAGCCCTTTCCTAGCAGCATTAGAGGGAAATACAGCCTGGAAAAGTGAGTTGCAGCCACAGG